TTTTAGGAGGAGGTGGGATGGGCTTCTCCAAAGAGATGGGTTTTCAGGGATCGCCAAACAGATCGGGGTAGGGAGTTCCAGAGGCCGGGAGAGACTCCGGAGAAGTCCTGGAGGTGGACATGGGGGGGGAGAGACAACAGGGATAGAGAGCAGGAGGTCTCCTGGGATTATACCCACAGTACTTTATCTGACCCTAGATGTCCTGATGACCAGCATCATTTAACCCACTTCCTCTAAACACAGTATTTCCTGGACCTGCCCATGCTGTGACTAGATCATATAAAAAAATAAGTGATGAGCTCATCTAAGGCGGGGTTCACACTGGGCGTTTTTTCTATGCGCATTTTATGCACGTTTTACGCCCAGTTTTTCCTTGCGTTTATGCACTTTTTTGCGCATTTTGTGTTCAGTGAAACAGCAAAAAGTTTCCCAGCACGCAAAAAAAACAAACTGTCTAACCGCTAAGGTTAAAAACAGAGGTTTTAGATATATGTCTTCTGCAGAATATGTGAAAGCCGCACAGCCACCTCCATATAGTGCGGTCCTAACTCTAAACCATGAGAGTCTCCATCTTGGAGCACATGGGGCAAAAGATTAAATTGGGTGCAGGTCTGTCAGGAGGAAGCCCAACCTCCCTCAAAGGCACAGGGACGTGTATCTAAACCTCTGCTTTTAACCTTAGTGGTTAGACAGGTATTTTTGCATGCTGGCTGGTGAGTGTGCTGGGAAACCTTTTGCTGTTTGAAGCCCTTCCATGTGCACCTTGCTGTAAATCTGGTAACGAATTGATGAGTGCGTTTGCCATTTGTTTTGTTTGTGTTCATTGAAACGTGCGTTTTTAAAATCACTAGAAGTCCTGTGTGCCTGTTTGCATGTGAAAAACGTGCATTTTTTTGCACACGAAAACACCCTTTTAAGGGCGTTTCCATTGAAGTCTGGCAGAATCAGCGCTGAAATCTGCCAAAAAGAAGCTCATGTACTTTTTCTCGCGTATGGTGTTTTTCAGTGCGACAAAACGCACTGAAATACACCCAGGTGGGAACCAGGCCCATAGGAATGCATGGGATTTCAAATGTTAAGTGTTTTTCAGTGCTTCGATCTGCGCTGAAAAAACACCCAGGTGTGATTCAGCACTGACTGTCACTGTGCTCTTTCCTCCCATCAGCATGTTCCTTGTCAGCACATGAACTGATTATTGTTCTGGTTCTCTCCCTCACACTCAAAGCCCTTCTGTACAGGGACTGCAAGAGGCTAAACTAAATTCAGGTTCTTACACTCCTCGCATATAAAAAGATATATTTAATGGTGTGTAAAGAATAGAGAGCTGCATTCATTGGGGAGAATTTATGAAAACTGGAGCAGAAAAAAATCTGATGCAGCTGTACATGGCAACCAATCAGCTTCTCTCTTTCATTTTCAAATTTTATCTGGGCAAACTGAAGAAAGAAGCCGATTGGTTGCCCTGGGCAACTGCTCCAGTTCTGATAATTCCCCCCCATGGTGTCTTTTAGATCTGCCTGGAATTAAAACTTTAGCTTCTAATAAGTTCCTCTTTAAATATAAAATGGAAAAAAGGGAAAGCACACAGTAAATGTACATAGATTATTTTATAAAGGTGAATTTACACTTTAACCAAACACTGAAAATATAACAAACTTTGATCTATAAAAAAGAGTATTCTGACAATATACAGAATATCCGGTAATAGAGCGCTGTCATAGGACGGCCTCCAGTTACAGACGCCGGTCATGTGGCAGTTCTCAGTATTAGGTTGTACTTCTTCAGGATTTCCTCTGCGGCGTTCTGAGCTTTTATCTTCATCAGCAAAGATGTCAGCTTCTCCATACTCTCCCTGCAGACAGGAAATGAAACCGTTACACTAAACGTTTCCTCAACATCACTGAGCAAGTTATGGCGGAAATATTTATAAATACTCTTTTATTTATTACAGGTATTTATAAAAGCACCATCAATGTACGCAGCGCTTTACACACACTGCACAGTCACATCAGTCCCTGCCCCCAAAGGGGGGTACAAATCCCATTACAGTGGAGGTCAGCAGGGATGGGGGCGACAATGCCCCATCACATTGGTGATCAGTGGGGGGAACAAAACTCCAATACATTGGTAATCAGTGTGTGTGTCGTGATCAGTGGGGGGAAGAATAC